TACAAAAAAGCCCACGAAAGATTTTTAAAAGGAGGTACTAATGGTTATGGGACTGGCAATATTGGCTGAGTGAAAGTTTTAAAGGCTTATTTAGAACAAAAATATAGTAAAGCCAATTCTACTGCCCTCACTGAAGACTATGATAATAACCTTTATTGCGGAACCTTCCAAATGGGTCAATTAGGAAACGACCACACTCAATTTAGAATTACCGAAAATGAGGCAGTCAAGTTAATTACTCGCGTAGTTAAAGAAATCAGCAAAATTAAAAAGTATGAGTTTGATGCTTACCTGAATGGAGTGGGAGGAACAACCTTGCCAAATGGTTTTGCTAAGGATGAAGTAATTACCTGAATGGATAATATCAGAGATAGAGCCCAGTATTTAGTAGATAACACTATTAAAGGCACTACTTTAGATGAAAATGGCAATAAAATAGAACATCCTGACAAAGGTAAACCCGCTAACGGACACCGCATCGAATACAGTTTTGGTGATGATTATACTAAAAATGATGGTAGTCCAGTTGCTACTAATAATTTCACTCACACTGAATTAGAACAATTATTTAATTTAATGAGATTGTTTGGTGATTATGGTTGAGTAAGTCACAATGACTTAAAACCTGCCTTAACGGAAATTAAAGGTGACACCCTCATTTTACTTCCGGCTGAGGAAAAACCAATCCCAAGTAGCAAATTCAAATTAGAAGAATTTGGCATTGAAGGCTATGTAGATAACAACGGCAACTCTAACTTTTACGCTACTAACTACGGCACTAGAATAAGTGATGGCTCTGAATATCGCCCGGTGGAATACAGTTGAGACAGTAAATTTGAAGTAAAAGTGGAAGATAACCTGAATGATTGAGCCAGATTAATCAATTCTTTTGCTAGCGAACAATACACTGATGAAAAAAACAAGAAAAAGTTAATCAGTTCTTTTACCAATGACCCCATTAAGCAATTATTTGCTGATTTAAGAAGTTATGACACTACTTCTAGCACGGCGGCAGACAAGGGAGGCACTGGCACTGATTCCACTCCTAATTACGATATCTTTAAGGATGGAAATAATAATCACTTCGCCTATCAAGAGTTCCCCGAATTTTATTTAGCCGAAGAAAACCAATGAGAAAGTTTAAAAGTTAATAAAGATCTCATTGCCGAAGAAATCAAATCGGGTCGCCAAGAACTAGAGCAAGCCGAAAAAGATTATCAGGCCGCTCGTAAACAACTATTCGCTAAAGAAAAGGAATTAGATAACAAAATTACCGCTAAAATCACCGAATTACGCCAAGAATTAAAGGAAAAATATAAGGTTAGTGATACCGAGGCCAATGATTTTACTGGCGATAACAAAATAACTACTTCCGATCATAGTAAGTTCCAACAATTAGTCCAAAGTATCCGCTTTTTAGTCAATCATGATGAAGAAAAACCAACCGGCAAAACTAATGAGGATCAGGCTTATCAAGCCAGCCAAAATATCTTCTTAAAAACTTTTTCCACTTGACTCCAATCGAGTTGAGACAGTATTGGCTGACAGCCAGGAGCCGACGAGAAAGTTAATCGCCAGCGAACTGATGAAGAAAGAATAGCGGTTATTAAGGAAAATAAAGATGGAAAATACGACTATTTAGGTTTAAACTGATGACATGACTCCTTAATCGAGTTAGAAAAACTAGTCAAACTAAGTGACCGAGAAACTGAAATCAAAATTGCCTTAAAGAAGGCCATTGACAATCAAACTCCGGAAGAAAACGCTAAGGATTGACAAAACAATCTCAAAGCCATTGAAATCGGCTTAGAAACCGCCTTCACCGAAGAAAAAATTAAGAAGTGAAAAGAGAAAAAAGACGGCCAACCTGCCTTCAATACCATTACTTCGGTCAATTCTTTATTGAAAAAAGTTTGTCAAGATGGTAAAGTCAACGAGGACTTCCTTACTTTCTTAAAAGGTAAAGACACTGAACTGGCTAGCCTAGAAAAGTTAATCGAGAAAAAAGAACCCAAAGAAGTAATTTTACTGATTCACCAATGAGAATATAACAAGTTGGATGATCCTAAAAAAGCCGAACGACATTTACGCTATGCGTGAAGTGAACTAGGAGGTAAGCAAAAAGTAGATAGTTATGAGTTAACTGACGAGGATAAAAAAGCGGGTGGTAATTTCGAGAAATTTCTTTATGAGTGTGCGATTGGCAAGATTAATTACAGCAGTTTGAAAAAACCCACCGAGCAAGAAAATTCCAACGATAATAGTGAGGGTCAAAATCCTCAATGGTGAGAAAAAGGCTTTTATTGACCAATTTGAACCAGTGCCTTGGCAATAATAGGTGGACTTATTGCTTGATGAAAACGAACTGACTGATTTGGGGGAAAAAAAGAGGAAGAGGAGGAGGAAACTGAACTAGAAAAAGAAACTAGTGAAGATGAAGATTAAGACTTACTATCTCACTTTTAATCGCAAACCCCTTGACCTCACCCTGACCCCGCCTAACCAGCGGGGTTATTGTTTCACCTGTAACTCAGAAAAAGAAATTAGAGTAATTAGCGAAAGATTTTATCCTTACGAAGAAAGAAAATTTTGCGGAGGTTGTGCCTTGAACAATCTCTATGAATTAGAAGAAAGTAATTGTGAAATTGAAAACAAAGCCCAAGTAATCAAAGAAATAAAAAGTTTTTTATTAGAAGAGCAAATTCCTTCCAAAAAGGAAGAATTATTAGAATGTTATGGCTAAAGAATTAAGCGAAAATAAGATGAATAATTTCACTTTCTCTTCCTCCGCCAAAGACCAACCCAAAGTTGCTTACTCCGAAACAAAAATAAAGGTTCTTATCACCGATATTGAAAAAAGATTAGATAAAAACCAGCAAGATTAC